ACCCCATAAATCATATATATTCTTGATCAGCATCTACAGGCCTTTCTTTCTAGCTTTATCCGGCCGAAAAAAATTTTGTTCAGAAATTTCCCATTTTTCGGAAAAAAGGAAAGGGTTACATCATGAAATTTAAAAATCGGCCAAAATTCACATTTTAAATGGAGTATGCAGTTTTGTTAACCTGCTAAAAATTAACATACTGCCGCTTTCCGAATTGAAATTAATGCGTTTTTGGCTGAGTTATGAGATTTTTAAATTTTGATTTGTGGAAAAATTTCAAATAAAAATATTGTTAATATCGGTTCAAAAATGGTAATGCACCTTCAGTCAGAAGCTTAAAAATAAGTGAAGGAGCCATTTCCGACCCCATAAATCATATATATTCTTGATCAGCATCTACAGGCCTTTCTTTCTAGCTTTATCCGGCCGAAAAAAATTTTGTTCAGAAATTTCCCATTTTTCGGAAAAAAGGAAAGGGGTTACATCATGAAAATTTGCAAAAATCGGCCAAAATTCACATTTTAAATGGAGTATGCAGTTTTGTTAACCTGCTAAAAATTAACATACTGCCGCTTTCCGAATTGAAATTAATGCGTTTTTGGCTGAGTATGAGATTTTTAAATTTTGATTTGTGGAAAAATTTCAAATAAAAATATTGTTAATATCGGTTCAAAAATGGTAATGCACCTTCAGTCAGAAGCTTAAAAATAAGTGAAGGAGCCATTTCCGACCCCATAAATCATATATATTCTTGATCAGCATCTACAGGCCTTTCTTTCTAGCTTTATCCGGCCGAAAAAAATTTTGTTCAGAAATTTCCCATTTTTCGGAAAAAGGAAAGGGGTTACATCATGAAAATTTGCAAAAATCGGCCAAAATTCACATTTTAAATGGAGTATGCAGTTTTGTTAACCTGCTAAAAATTAACATACTGCCGCTTTCCGAATTGAAATTAATGCGTTTTTGGCTGAGTTATGAGATTTTTAAATTTTGATTTGTGGAAAAATTTCAAATAAAAATATTGTTAATATCGGTTCAAAAATGGTAATGCACCTTCAGTCAGAAGCTTAAAAATAAGTGAAGGAGCCATTTCCGACCCCATAAATCATATATATTCTTGATCAGCATCTACAGGCCTTTCTTTCTAGCTTTATCCGGCCGAAAAAAATTTTGTTCAGAAATTTCCCATTTTTCGGAAAAAAGGAAAGGGGTTACATCATGAAAATTTAAAAAATCGGCCAAAAATTCACATTTTAAATGGAGTATGCAGTTTTGTTAACCTGCTAAAAATTAACATACTGCCGCTTTCCGAATTGAAATTAATGCGTTTTTGGCTGAGTTATGAGATTTTTAAATTTTGATTTGTGGAAAAATTTCAAATAAAAATATTGTTAATATCGGTTCAAAAATGGTAATGCACCTTCAGTCAGAAGCTTAAAAATAAGTGAAGGAGCCATTTCCGACCCCATAAATCATATATATTCTTGATCAGCATCTACAGGCCTTTCTTTCTAGCTTTATCCGGCCGAAAAAAATTTTGTTCAGAAATTTCCCATTTTTCGGAAAAAAGGAAAGGGGTTACATCATGAAAATTTGCAAAAATCGGCCAAAATTCACATTTTAAATGGAGTATGCAGTTTTGTTAACCTGCTAAAAATTAACATACTGCCGCTTTCCGAATTGAAATTAATGCGTTTTTGGCTGAGTTATGAGATTTTTAAATTTTGATTTGTGGAAAAATTCAAATAAAAATATTGTTAATATCGGTTCAAAAATGGTAATGCACCTTCAGTCAGAAGCTTAAAAATAAGTGAAGGAGCCATTTCCGACCCCATAAATCATATATATTCTTGATCAGCATCTACAGGCCTTTCTTTCTAGCTTTATCCGGCCGAAAAAAATTTTGTTCAGAAATTTCCCATTTTCGGAAAAAGGAAAGGGGTTACATCATGAAAATTTAAAAATCGGCCAAAAATTCACATTTTAAATGGAGTATGCAGTTTTGTTAACCTGCTAAAAATTAACATACTGCCGCTTTCCGAATTGAAATTAATGCGTTTTTGGCTGAGTTATGAGATTTTTAAATTTTGATTTGTGGAAAATTTCAATAAAAATATTGTTAATATCGGTTCAAAAATGGTAATGCACCTTCAGTCAGAAGCTTAAAATAAGTGAAGGAGCCATTTCCGACCCCATAAATCATATATATTTGATCAGCATCAAAAGCTGAATCGATTAAGCAAGTCTGGTTGAAAACTAAATTTTTCGGATTTTGTCCATTTTCTGAAATCATAAGGGGTTAAAATTGTCAAAAATAGCAAAAAAATCTAATTTTCTAAATTTGCAAACTAAGTATGCATAACTAACAAACAGCTTTACGAATTGAAATTCATTTTTGGCTGAGTTATGAATGATTTAAAGTTCAATTTTCCGATAAATTCGTCAACTGCTCACGTATCCGAGCGACAGCGTTCTTCTTTTTAGACCATGTATGGCAGGAATTTATTGCCGTATTATTTCCATTTGTCACTTAATCCAATCAAAACTAACACAGAATAGCTTTTCGAATTGGAATTCATTCAGTTTTGGCCTAGTTTGAGTTTATTTATTATCGGATTTGCCGAAGAAATTGTTATATAAATTGTCGATACAAAAAGAAGGCAAATATTTTAAGCTTAGATGATCCATCTTGATTCATCCCACAATTTATATAATTTCCCACAATCTTAATATGATCTACTCTTTAAATTTTGTTTTCAATATAGTTTTATTTATTTTTCCTTTATTTAATATAGGTTGTTTGCAGTTATTTCGTTTAAATTTATTTGAATTATTTCCTCACTTACAAACTAATTAATAAATTAATAGTTAGCTTAAAGAGACTTAAAATAGCGTAACTGAATGGGGAGAAAAACTAAACATGAAGCGCATGAGAAAGATGGTTTGCATAGGAATACAAAACATAAAAGGAAAATACTATCAACAGAATTACTATGGGTACGGGGATGGCATTAGTTATGGTATCTCTGTCCGTTTGTCCGTCCGTCGCCCTGTCCTTCCGTTGATTGAGCCGCGTAGATAGCTAGTTTTGTGCTCCTCTATTTGGAGTATTATTTTTGGCTCTACTTCAGTTTTTTCGCGTCATGCAAATGGTCCTCACCTTTAACTGTGGGATCTTTAAGCTTTCTTTTTTTTATTTGCCAGGCAAGCCTTAGACAATCAGAGTCTCCGCAGGCTGCTCGTGTGCCTCTGGGGCCGGACCCTATGTGGTCCTGGCATCCCCAATGAGTGAGGGCACATCTTGGCTGAGCACAAAACTTGGCATCTACGGGGCCGTCAACTGAGGGACTAGGGACACAGCTCCTCTAATCTTCTTCCTTCATGTTGTCAACACTTTCATTTCATGGCTGCAGCAGTATATCTTTTGTTTTTCCTATAGTTATACAAGTTTCATGGATTTGTCGGTCGTGTAGAGTGCGTTGGGGGTTTGGGGCACAAAAAAGGATATAAAATGGGAGGGGGGAGAAAATCCTATAACAGATTTCGTATAAGCACTTGGGAGCTTTCCAAACTAAGATTAATTGAAGAATTATCAACTAAATACGATACAACAAATAATAATAGGACAAGGATTCTAATCATCATTTTACAAATTTAGCTTTTCGTTTTGCATGGGATATCTTGTTTTTGTTTGTTTCAGTTAGTTTTACACAATATTTACAGGTATTTTGCAGATTTTTTAAGAGTTTAACAAACAATTACGATAAGCTTTCATTTTGTTGGTTTTTTCGAGTGGTTCCTCTTGATCATTTTGTGTTTGTTTCTTTTTTCAAGAGCTTTACAATGTTTTTCTGTGTTTTTAAAAATATATAGCTTGAAAATATGCTAGAATTACTACAATTTTCTACGTGTTTTTTCGTTTTGTTTTGTTTAAATTTGAAACATGCATATTTTTATGATGTAACTAATATTTGCTGTGTTCTTTTGCTTTGCTTTGCTTGGTTTTTCATTTTTATACAATAAAAGTAAGAGTTAAAAGTAAATTATAAAAATAGCAGCTGGCCTTTTTGCTTGTATTCATTGATTATTTGTATTTTATTGATCATAGTTAATAGTGTTTGGAAATTGGTTTATGCTTGTTTCTCCTCTGCCCCGTTCTCTCTGTTTTGTTGCCTTTAATGTTTTTTTGCTTTTTTACAATTTACATCTTATGTCTCTGACTGCACAATGCAAATTATCACATATTTTTCAATAAATTTTCCCTCCTGATTTCTGTTTTCCTCTGATGTCTGGTTTTCCCAAGCACTCTCTTTTATTATTTGTATTTCTGCTGCCGGTTTCCATCTTTCTTTCTCTGATATCCCTTCGATTTTCATGGCTAAAATTCTACTTTCTTCAAGTATTATTTCGAAAGCCAGTACATTTATATGTGGGGTATATATGTGTGTGTGTTTTTGGGCTTTACATGTTTTATTCGTAGCGTTAACAACACGAAAACAAACGGTTAAACAAAACTAAAAAAGTATTAAACAAAAAAAAATTATAGAGGAACAGCGCAGCAGCGCAATGTTAAAATATATATATTAAACTCTTAATCGCGAGTTAACAGCAAACGTTAACAGCGCCAGCCGCAGTCGCTGTTAGCGTGCAGTCTATCTGTGTGTGTGTGTACATTGATGTGTGTATGTGTGTCTGTAGGTGTGTGGGTGTGGTGTGTATGTGTGTTAAACAAATATCACAATCGAGAAATTAACAAAACGGCGGCTGCAGCAGCTCAGCAGCTCAACATCCTTAACAGCCAGCGCAATAACACAACAGGCAGGCAGTTAGTTTAACCTCCGGTTAGCACAGTGTTAACTGGCTGTTATTGCTGCTATTGCTGTTGTTGTTGTTGCTACTCTGTGGCCTAATACTTTCGCTGCTCTCCTCGGCTCCATCTCCGCATCTCCCTCATCATCATCATCATTTAGTGGCGCGAGTTAGAAGGGGACAAAGCTGAGTTAACATTACAAGGTGTTTTCATTCTTATCAAAAAAAAACGACGTTCATTATTCAAGCCCATCCGAAGTGGGCCTTAAAAAACAAACACTACCGAGTTAGGTGTGAGCTTCTTGCCCAGCTTAGGACATGGGACCGTTGACTGTGGGTACCGCTGCTACCGCTGCTGCTACTGTGACCTGCTCCACGACGGATGCATCGCTGTTGTTGCCGCTGCCGCTGCTAACCGCTGGGACGGCGGTTCCGTTCTCGGCACTGCCATTGGGAATGCTCGTGGGCGCCGCCACGGACGCTGGACTAGTGGCACCGGTGCTCCTCCGGTGCTGCCCACCACCACAGCAGAGATGGCTCCTGCCGCCGCCGCTGCTGCTGCAGCCACTGCTGCTGCCTGTCCTGCGGCATTTGGAGCAGATGTCGGCGGTGGTGCCTGAATGGCTGGGGTGGCCGGTGGGGCGGCCACGGCCGCCGGCTGTTGGCTTCCAGCAATCTGAAGCTGCATCTGGATCTGCTGCAGCGTCTCCTGCGGTATGTGCGACTTGAGAATGGTATTCTCAACCTCAAGCTTGTTGATCTTGTCCATTAGCTCGGAGATGCGCTCTTTTAGAACCTCCACCTCCTCGCGCACCGCAATCATGAGATGCGACTTGACCAGATCCTGGAAAAATAAGAAAATAAGGAAAATCTTGGTTAGAAATGTGTTTAGAATTGGAAATTTATGCTTAAGGGAATCATAGTATATGATCTAGTCAAAGGAATTATAGTATATGATCGGGAAAGTAATTTGTTGAATCGCCATTCAACACTTTTACAAAGATACAAGCTACTTTTTTTAATCTCGGACTGATTCTCTTTCAATAATTTTTTTTTAACCTTGCAGGGTATTATAAATCGTGTCAGAAGCTTGCAAAACAGTGAAGGAGTCATTTGCGACCCTATAAATCATATATATTATTGATCAGCATCAAAAGCTGAATCGATTAAGCCATGTCCGGTTGAAAAATAATGATTGATTTAACACACATTTTATAATAGGAAAAGGTTAGATTTAAACTGAAATTTAATTAGAAACTTTAAAAAGGAACAAGAAGAAGAACAAAAATAATTGTGTTTGCTACGGTGCTTAAGTACACTGGTTGAGAAGCGCAGAGGAGGGCACTTTTGTTGTGATAGGATACTTTGACTGAACACACATTTTATAATAGCAAAAGGTTGGATTTAAACTGAAATTTAATTAGAAACTTTAAAAAGGAACAAGAAGAAGAACAAAAATAATTGTGGTTGCTACGGTGCTTAAGTACACTGGTTGAGAAGCGCAGAGGAGGGCACTTTTTTTTAGAGAGAGGGAATGCGAGGAAAGTATTATTTTTGAGAGAAAGTAAAAGAGAGCAAACACAACTTGGTTGGTTTTTCGAGAAGCGTAGGGAAAGTCTCAATTTTTATAATTTGGAATAATGAGAATTTTAAATAGTAAAAAATATGTGATAAATCCGTAAAATTGATCAAAAATATAACAGGATTTGTCCATATTTTTTTTTTTAATCATAAGGGGTTACATCATTAAAATTGTCACAAATTGGCAAAAATTTGAAGTTTAATTGAGTATAGATATAACCTAATAAAACTAACATAGGAAAGCTGTCCGAATTGAAATTGATGCCTTTTTGACTTAGTTATGAAGTTTTTAAGCTTTGATTTGTTGGTAAAATCGGCTTATAAATATTGATTTAAAACTTGCGATAATTTTAAGCTTCCTATTTGCGATTCGATCCTATAATTCATTTGCAAAGTAATACTATTTTCACGTTTTCCTAATCTTCAGATGAATAATGTCTTGTAAATATTAAGTATTTGTAATGAGTGTAAAAATAATTAAAAATAAAAGGATAAGATATAAGAATCCATAAAGATATTCCCAGCTGAAAGATGTTTATATGCTATATTTTATGGAGTAAGTACCTTCTTTACAGAGACTGTAAATGTTTATATTTTCACTGCAGTTGTAATAAAAATATAATCCCAGCCTGAATACCCGTTGTAATCCAATACAGGTAACAAAAGAAAAGTATTTGCCAAAAAGATTAACAGTTTCCACTGTCGGCTAACATCCTGTTCACACTTGCAGAGACTGATTCATTACACGTTGCTGCTGCTGTTGCGTTTAACATTTTAGCTTCAGTCTTTGGGGCTTTCAGGCCATTCATAAATCACATTTTTGCGACAATGTTTGTTCAGGTATATATGGCGTGTTCGCAGTTGGCTTTATTTTTATTTGCCGTGTAAATGTAAATGGTTCCCCGAAGAATCAAAAATGTGTTCGTGTCATTGTCAATGCCACAGTCGCAGCAGAACACGTCATCGGAAAACGAAACATCGACAGAAAAAAAAGGAAAATGAGGGGAAAAACAAAACCAGAGCAAAGCCAAAACACACACACCAATACACCCTAAATCCATCCATATTCATGGCTCACCTGACTGCACCATGTGAAAATTTAATAAACCTATTAAAGAGGCGGAAAGTCGAAAGGAAAACGCGTGTGCATGCAAACATTTTTTCGTTTTTTTTGTTTTTTTTATGTGCCAGAATAATCGCGTCCATTCCCTTTCATTTTGTGTGCATTTAATGGCACGTGTTCAGGTGAATTTTTCCCAAGTTTAATGTACGTCAATAGAGCGACAACATTTTTGGCTAAAAAGGTGGTTTTTCTTTTCTTTTTTTTCTGCTGGCTGCTGTCGATGACATTCGCCGTTTGCCAGCAGTTCCGTTTCATGAAGAGTCGAGTTTTCTTTCTTTCCCGACTCGACGACGACGACAAAGATGCGACTCTCCTCTCCACATGCGATCTCTATAAATAGTCAGCTTTGGGGCTGTGGATGCTGTGCTTTCGTCGTCTTCACTTTCAACAATTTCTTTCGACATTTACTGTGGCCTGGTTTTTCTTACAGGCAGCTCGAAAAAATAAAAGTTGAGAGTGCTGCGGCCAGCCAATCATTAAAATCTCAAAAAAGGAGAATATAGTCAAAGCAGGATATAAGCAAGGCAAAGGAAAATCTTTACTGAAAGGAAAGAGAGTCCATTTAAGTGAATAAAGTTTAAATTTCTTAAAAATGCTAATAAAAAATACCTTATAAGTTTAAAAACTCTCAACAGAGGGAGCATTTCGTATGCCTCAACCATTAGTCATGCCTCAAATTCTATACGATATGCCAGAATATAAATACATATATCCAAAAGCATGAGGATGAGGCATGGAAACCCATCGAAAAGTCGCATGTTCTGGCAGCGGTGCCAAAAAACAAAAAAAAAGAACCCCCAACACACAAAAGACCAAATATAAAATTATATTTTGCACGTTTTTCGCCTGTTTCTGCGGCAGCTAATAAATAATTTTTATAAAAATACATAATTGTATTTTTAGAAGAGCGCGAACTCGCACACACACACACATATTCGTTGCCGCTGGGCATAATCAATAAAATATTTTGTGCAAAGAAATCGCATTACCAAAATTAGAAGTCAAGTTGATAAAGACCCAAAGCAGACAGCAGACAGAAATCGGGTAAAAAGGTAAAGCCAAAAAAACAACAGCAAGTTCGGAAACAATAGCAACCGCTTTAAACAAATGCAAACCGGTTGATACTGCTTCGGCTTGTTAACAATAAGGTGCAAAAAGATACACACAAAAATAAAAGAGGAAAACAAGTCGAAGTTTATATACCCTTATAGTTTGCAATTAAATTATAAAATATTCGCTTTGTTGGAATCAATATTATTAATTTTTTATATGAACATTTTTTCGGAAAATTAAATTTTAACTCATTCATAACTCAGCAACTCAAAAATGCATTAATTTCAATTAGTTCTGTGTTAGTTTTCATTGGGATAAAAAATCTGCATACTTAGTTAGCCAATCTAGAAAATTCGATTTTTTGCCAATTTTGACAATTTTAATGATGTAACCCCTTATGATTTTTCAGAAAATGGACAAATTCCGAAAAATTTATTTTCAACCAGACATAGCTAATCGATTCAGCTTTTGATGCTGATCAAGAATATATATGATTTATAGGGTCGGAAATGAGTTTTTCACAGTGTTACAAGCTAAATACCCTGGGCAGGGTATAAAAAAACTCGAAATATATCTCATAAAATTATTGTTCAAAGGCAGGTGTGTCTAAATACTTTGTTTTTCTACCATTCTTCTTCGCTCATCATTATCAGGTTTTTGCACAATTTATGGAGGGTTATACCCCCCAAAGATAAGCTGATAAAAACGCGATAAGAAAGGCCTCTGTGTGTATATATTGTAGATAGAGAAGTAATTTAGGAGGGGCGCATCACCAGCATCTCTGGTATGCTAATTATACACGCACTCTTGGCAAGATACACACAGCAGCAGCAGCAGCAGCGTGTGTGTGGAGAGGGTTTCCATGGGGTCAGGTCACGCGCTTTTCTTTGCCTGAGGTATCTCACAACAACAACACGTCTCTCCTCTCGGTTTTCTCGTTTCTCGCTTCTCAAAACTCATCTCATATGCAGTTCTCATTTCGGTTTTTTTCTTTTTTCGGTTTCAACTGCACTTCTCAAATAAACATGGCGGCCACACACCACCACCGTGCACACACACACACACACTCGAGGTTTTATTCTTCTTGTTTTTTTTTTCTTTTTGTTGAGTACACTTGTTCGAGGTCCTTAGGTAGCCAGAACAGAAAATGAATATCATGTGCTTCCTGCGATTCCTTTGTTTCAAAAAAGAACAAAGGACTCGTGTCTGCTTGTTTTTTTAATGTTTTGTAGCCTGTATAACTTATTTTTTCTTTAGTATTTAAGTCAGAGTAACTTATCAGCTTAAATAAATTGACAAGTGACAAGTTTTTGCGGGTTTGGTTTTTGCTTAGAAACACATTTTTGACATTGAAACGCCACTAAAACGCGCGCAGCCTCACACGGCGAAAAAAATCAATAAAATTGCATCTAGAGACAAGGTAAACTTTTTTGGGGGTTGTAGATGGGGAGAGGGAGAGTGGGGGGATGGGGTTTTCTTTTTGCTGAGGTGGAATTTTTCCTAGTTATACATACTTTGCATTGGGCACCATCACATAGCAGGGACTGTCGTAGCCCTTCTGCCAGATCTCATAGAGCCAGTTCTCTGGCTGACGGAGCGACATTGTGCCCATCATATTGGCTTTTTGTTGGGTTTTTATTAAATGATTTTCACGGAGATTATTAAATGTTTATCTGTTTCTTTTGGAGACTTGGTTCTCCTTCACTTTTCAGCACTTTTAAATTAAGTTTTTGGGGGATCACAGTTTTCGTTTTGAAATGTAATTGAAAATTTCTGTATTTCACTTCTTTTTCTTATCTCTCTTTTTCCCTTTCTCAGTTTTTCTTTCCCGTTTCTTTTTCTTGATGTGTTTGTATGGCAAAAGTTCAGCAATAACTGAATTCGCTTTTCAGCTTTTTGTGAGATTTACGAGACCGGCGCAGAGCTTTTATTTTATGTAGCGTTTTAGCGAGCTTTTCTCGATTTTAGTAATTGCTTTTGAAACAACTTTTGTGCTGGCTTTTACACGAATTAATATAATTCACAACGGACGAGTCACTCGTGGGACTTTTTTTTTGTATAAAAATAATATACTGCTAAGTGTCTTG